TAACCGGACCGGGCCAGGGCCGGCGGGGAGGGGGTTGAAGTTGGCGTGCGGAAGTGGGTAAACCTCAGGAACCGATGGCAACACCTGTTTGTTGCCGTGTTTTACATTGATTATCGCAGCGATGTGTCCGCTGGTGTCATGGACGGAGGCCTGGAGAAGAGCGCCGAGCCGCCAGCTGGGCTGAGCTCTGCCAAACCTGGATCGCCTTAGCGAGAGGAAGGGAGTCCCTCGGCCAAAAACTGGATCGCCTTAGCAAGAGGAAGAGAGTCTCGGCTCTCCAGAGGAGCGAGATTTAGGGCGTCTGGCAGCCCTCCCGACGGTCACCGTGAGGTCACTGCAGCCATACGGCTGGCCCAAACACAGCTGAAATTAGTGCTTTGATTTATTCACCACTTGACGCCTTCAGCCACACTTCCAGTTTGCTCACTGTGCTAAATTCACTGAGGGTGGAGTGTTTTGTTGTTTTTTTTTTACAGCCGAGAGTGCTTTTGCCTGTTGCCTGTAGAGAAAGGACCCAGGCGTTTACAGTTATGACTGCTGAGAACTGCAAACACAGCTCCGATCATCATCTTGTGTTTTACATGTAGTCAGACTGTGTTGTGACAAGGAGAAGACTGTGTGATACTTGCATACGCCTACTTGAACAGATGCAAATGCAGATCTTGCCTTGGTCTTCTCAGAGTACCCAGGAGAATCCTGTTAGCTCCAGTAATATTGACCGACCCTATCACTTGGAATAATGACATAAAATGAGCAGGAGGGAAGCAAATTGAATACTAACAGTAGCAATTTGTATCCTAACTGTGTGCATGGACATAGACCTGAATTCTTCAGTGCAAGGTGCCATCCAGACACCACACAGAGGGTATACGTGGTTCTAAAAAGAAAAATTGGGAAATAGCCTTAATGGTGAAGCAATATCAGAAAATATGCCTAATGGTAAAATTTATTATATGCTGGAAGATTAAATTCACGAGGGAGGTTATGGAAACCTCACAGATTGGGTAGGGGTGTAATTTTCTATTAAATTGCTAAGTGGAAAATCCCAGAGGCAATCAGTATGCTACTTTTGGAATTTTCCTAAACTTCTCTGTAAGACTTTATGAAAGGAAACTGGGCTAACGTACTATTTAAAATCCTGCATTATATATTTTTGGGAGGATGCTGAAGCAGCAAAGGTAGATGGGTGTCATATGCTGTTTGCTGATTTTGTGGGTCCAATTAATCTCTGGTACAGTGTAATAAAGTCAGGTCTGAAATGCAGCAGCAGTGTGCCTAAATTTTTCCTACAAAAAGTGTATTTTCTCTTTTTTTTTTTCTCCCCAAACAGTCTGCTGATTCCTGTCTACTAACTAACTTTATTTACAGGGCTTACATGTTGAAACTGTTTGACTCTCATCCTTCCTGGGACAATAGGAGAATTTTTATAAAGCATAAGGCCCTCATTTACAGTTCAGCTCACATGATGAGCTTTATCCTGCATTTGCCAAAGGAATGTGCTACAAAAATCTTTTCTATTTTCCTCTGTTACTCAATTTTGTGAAACATTCTGGGGTATAATTTATGAAAATGTGATGGCAATGTTTTATCAGCTGCTCTCTTACTGGTTTTAGTTCTTCCTTCCCTGTGCTGATATTTTGCTTAAAGGGGTATTCGTGGCTTTAAATGACATTTCAGCCTGGGCAGTGCAGTTTCCAGTAATGTTTTCCAAGAATTAGCACATCCCCTTTTCCACTGATATTTCTGATTTTCCTTTTTGTGAGTTAGAGAGATCCATCCTTTTCCTGCAGAATAAGCCTGATCCTGCAAGCTAGCCTAATTATGGTCACTCAGATGAATAAATCTTTGCAGCTTTCATTTCTGCAAGTAGGAGCCAGTGTGGATACCACAGCCCCAATCCTGCCATCTCATCTGCATAAAAGTGAATTAGAAACTAGGACAAGGTGACTTTAGGTCAAAGTCTTGTAGTTATCCACACAACATGTAGGAGAATCCTGTAGCTGGAAGCAGCTTTCTGTCCTGCACTGCTGGTGCTTCTCAGCTGGGACTGAGAAAAAACTCCACAAACCCAAAGGCTCCCATATACAGGGAGCTGTGAGTCTGTTGTTGGGCATTTTGGGGTAGGCATCCTAAAACTGGGCTGGGATCATCTGCTCATTTGTCACAGGCCACCATTGCATTATTCCAGCTGGAGAAATGCAGAGATGAAAGTCCTCTTTATCCCACTAGAATGACTGCCTTGTGTCACCCTAGATAGTCACTGCCTGCATCACTGTGGCAGCCAAGTGACTTAGGATAAAGTGCACACTGGCTCTGGGGGCAGACAGCTTTTAATTTCATCTTTTATTTCAGTTTCTGTCTCAGTATCATGTTGTTATTATTACATATTAAGAACCCATAGGTCTTTTTTTTTTTCTGGTGAAAATATGAAAAATTTGAGCATTTTGTACCTATTCATGAATGGTTTAAAAGTATTTCCTCAAATTAAATGAGTAATGTGTTTTTCAAAATGCCATGAAATTAGCCAGCTAAATAAGGGCTTTGTCTTGCAACATGTCCCAAGTCAGCATGATCATCTCTGATGATTTCTTAGTTATTATGCTTCAAGTTACTTTCAAAATATCCCTTCCCCATTCTAACTGGTAGTAATTTTTCTGATGTGCAAAATACTTTTCTTTTTCATTTCAGATCATGAGCTAACTGATTAAATATAATTAATCTAGTGATATTTCAATATTAACAGCAGCATGCTGCTCTTCACACAGGATGTCCCAGACTTTTTGTTTCCAGGTGAGTCCAGTTCATGATAATATTTTATTATTCAGAAGTAGGATGGTATAGGACAAAGATGCTGTAGAGAATTGAATAAGTGTACTAAGAACCACTTCAGCTTTTCAGTTGGAAAAATTATAGTGGAGAAAGTCTCATAAACTCAGTGATTTGATCTGAGGCTTAGTCTAATGTCAAGGAATTCATGTGAGGCTGTGTGAAGAGGGAAGAGGCTGCTGACTGTCACATTAATAGCACCATGATTAGCACTCATCCTGGAGCCTGACGGGGTCCTGTGTGGTGTTAGGGAGCAGGAGAAGGGTGAAGAGGTAAATTGGACACCAGGAGCTGTGCAGGTGACAGGTTAATAGGTGAGCTATTTTGGTTAGTTATGTGTAATGAATGGCACTGAGGATTTTATAAGCTGCAGTAGTGTTTCCAGTGGTGGTTTTGAGGTCATATGACATGTGTGGGCAGTGCTTAGCCCCAAAGTGACAATAGGCCACGTTGTGCTCTGCTGTCTCACTACAAACCTTCCCTTTCAGCAGGCTCTCAGGCTGCCATATCCAAGGACTCAGAGAGGAAGGTGTCTGGATGTCCTGAAGAATTCTGAATTCAGGAGTGCAGTTTAACTTGTTTTCCAATCCTCCTTAAGTTTTCCCTGTACCATTTGAGTCACAGTATTAACATTTCACGTCCCTTTTTCTTTTGGAACACAGTTTTGAAATGCCTTCTTGTCCATCCTGCTGCTTGTTAATCTTTCTCATATAAATTTTAAAGAAAAAAAATTACAGGACAGACCAATGTTTTCATCTGTTTGCCAGATCAGGGAGACCAAAACATTCCAGAACTGTTTCAACAATAAAGAATATAACTGAATCTATGTACAAAGTGTTCTTTGTGTGTGCAGTTACAAACCCTCTGGACATTTCCATATCAGAATGCAAACCTTCTAAACATTTCCATATCAGAATGCAAACCCCTTTTTGACTGTAAGATTGGACTTTCCCTCTCCTTTTTGAATTTATGTACGGCTTGGACTAAGGTTGCAAGGAAGGGCACTGTGTTTGAAGAGTCAATGCTTGATGGTCACCCACTCTGATCCCATACTTGTGGGATAGTTGGATATTAAGTCATCCCTAGACAAACCAGTGTTTGGATTTGAATTCTGGGAATGGAAAAGAGAAAAAGGTGTCTAAGAAACAGATGTGGTTGAAGGATGAAGAAGAAAAGGTCCCAACAATGCTCTTTTTTATGAAAGAGGATGTGGGAGAGTGAAAGAGATCTGTCCACATGGACATCCTCTGCTTCTCTGCAACATGGAGAAACCACGGGCTGAACTAATTTTGGCCTTACAACCCAAGTCCTTCAAGGCAGCTGAGGACAATGTGAGTAGGGCTTTTTATTTTGCCTAGAAATTTGAACTTTTCTGCTATGTAAAGAGCAATAGTGCTTAGAAGTTTTAGACTGGATGTGTCTTTGCATCACTACCACCTCTGCCTAAGAGATGAAACGTAAAGCCAGGCTGGTGTCCTCAGAAAGGGCACGTTTGAGCTTTGGGTCATCCCAGAGTCACTGTCAGTGATGCCAGCCCAAGCACAGCAGTCAGCACTCCCAGATCTGAGGGATGCTGCAGGCACAAATTGCAGCAAGCTCAGCTCAGGGTCCAGCAGCCCAGTGAGCCCCTGCTAGGGAGAGCTCCAAGAGGGTCATGCTGCTAATCATTCCTCCATTTTGGTGTGTTTGCTTCAGCCACAGCAGCTGAAGGCAGATGTAAGAGTGCCGTCACTGGAGCTATGGATGGAAAACAAATGCAGCCTCAGCTGCAGGAACAAAAGCATTTAACACCATTAGGCAGCTCCTTGAGGGTGTGGGGTGAAGCCCAGGCAGCAGCCATGCTCCTCCAAGTCCTGACTGAGCCTGATGTGGGCATCTTGTGCTGTGCTCCCCAGCCCAGCCTCTCTCTGTTTCCAGCTTGCCACAGGGACTTGCTCTCCATGTCTCGATTCTGCCTTGATCCTCTTCCATTTCTCCTGCCACACATTAGTAAATGCACTTGCAGTAAAATCAATGGGAGTTTGAAAACTAAAAGTAATGTGTGCTTTGGTATGCTACTAATCCACTTATTTGGATCCTCTTACTGCTCCTCTGGGCTGCCCTGATCCTCTCTATCAGCCCACCCAGCTGCTCTGATCTGCTCTCTAAACTTGTGCTGTGGCTATATTAGCATCCCTGTCAACTCACAGGGCTGCTGCCTCAACGCCATCAATCCCCTCTCCCAATGAGAGTTTCTCTACTAATAATCCCTGTAGCTCAGAATACTGATGCAAACTAAAATAAATTCATGAAAAGTTGCTGTATCTCCTACTAAGATGTTCTATTTTCCTAAATGTTTTCCAACAGTACTTATATTTCAGGCTGGTGAAATAGCTTCAGACACATTCATAGCCACCTGCCTGCTTTTCAGTTCTAAAAAATAAAATTTCATTGCAAGGTACAATGGAGTTCAAAATCTACTCACACATGCACTTTTAAAAGAGAGATTATGGGAATTTTAAATCTCTGTCAGGCTGCAGACTGACAACATCTGAAAAAGGTGCTTTTATTCAGCAGTAAGGTACATACAGCAGCATTTTCATTAATGTGACCCCCCCTGGATTTACCTTCAGAGATGTGTAGATACTGAAGACTCCATCACCCATTCAATCCCTGACCTCTCTGCTGAGGCAGCCAGTGCACCTGCATGGGCATTTTCTCTGAGATGGACACATCCTGCAGGGATCACACTGACAACACAGAACTATGATCATTTAGCAATAACTTTGAGAGATTTCTTGCCTGTGTTGAATAGAAGCTAATGAACTCAGAAGTACAATACTTTATGCTCAACCATTTATCTTCTATATGCATTAAAGTGGAAGAAAAATAGATGTTTTATGTGCTTTTATACCATCCAACAAGATCTATTTGGTGTTTAGATGGTGTCTGTTAATACAGCTAAAATGTCTCAACCCCAAGGGATGTTAAGTGTAGATATTCCTTTGGGGAAAAATGCAATGCATGCAGTTTGACAACACAGTCTGTATTTGCAGGGCTTAGTCCTGTAACTGCACCTTTCCTGGAAAGACTTTGTTGTTTGGGTATGTGTAGTGCAAACTGATGCTGGGAGTAAGGATGTTCAGTGCTTCACATCATTTGCCCTGCACTGCTGGAGTGCTAGAAAGAACAGCTACAAAAATACCAACAACAGCAAAAAACCAAAACCAAAGCAACAAAAAAAGGCAGCATGACCATTTTTCTCCAAGATGTTTTGCATTCTTTAACAGCCACAAATGGCCACTGCTGTCAAAAAAGCACAGTCTCCCTAGTGACATCTTGGGACCAATTCCTTAGGGACTCTGATGACACAGTGCCATTAGCTGAGCCACAAATACTGTTCCTGAAACAACAGAATTTTCATCAGCTATCTCACATATCAGCCAGTTTGGCAATAATTAACTGTTCTTAAATGCAAAGTGTTTTAGAAGCAACAATGAGTTTTTGACACCACCTCAGTTTTACAGATAAAGCTGCTGGGATAGGAAAGACTCATGCATCCTATAGACAACCTAAACAATGCTCATTAACATTGTCTGGTCAAAATCAGAGAATAATTAACAGCCAAACATTATTTCAAGTGTGTTTCTAAAAGCCACACTAGCCTTACTAACCAGTAACATCCATATGGATGTCACTACTTCCCTAGTGCATTCCAGGCAGACAGCAGTTGCAGGGGCTGACTTACCATGAGAACTAATCAAGGGATACTTTAAAAAGCAAAACAAACCAAATTCAAATGCTGCCTTCATGATACACAGATGCCATACACTTTAGAAGATTTATGTTAGAAATGTGGGAACCTTTTTTCTGCCATTTCCTCCCCAGTGAGCTTTCCTTGTCTTTGCAGGATGATTTGGACACCTGTGGTGGAGCACCACCTCCAATTTCTTCCTCAGCCTTCTCTGTAGCTGAGTGTTTCTCTGACTGTGATCTCCTGGAGATTGTGTGCTGTTTGGAAAGGTGAATAAGAAAGTGAAAGCCCAGAGTGGCTTAAATTGACTTAAATGAAGGGGATGGGCCCATCCCCAATGTCAGGGTTGTAGGGAAGTGCAGTTTGCAATCCTTAGCAGCAATACTAACACCTCTGACAGAACAGCTGGAGGTGCCTGTAGATGTGACAAGCTGGAGGTACCTGTAACAAAGTAGATGTGGGGGCAAAGAATGGGGAATTGGGTGGGTTAATCCCTCCCAGAAAGTTAAGGACTGCTTTAATTAAAAAAGAAAAGACAGACTGAGTGTAGAGCTCCCTTTGCCAGAAATGGACATACTTAGTCATGGTGTAAAGGCAATTTTATCCAATGTCTTTTTTGGTATAGTGTTTTGAAGATGAATAAAAGGAGCCATGTACTTATCTAAAAAGGGTTTCCAAGAGTCATCTGTGCCCTTGTTACTTGAAATGAGTTCCGCAATCTTGGTCAGCTGCAAGGCATCAGTTCTGCCTCCTGTGTGCAAGTGAAAGCATATGCTGGCTGAACTGGGGTTTTCCCTGTTCTAATATCAAATAGATAAGTGAAACTGGATGCCCATAAAGATATGACCTGAAAACAACTAAATGTAAACTGAATACAACCACTGAGAGCAGTCAAAATTATTCTGATCCGTTTTACCACTTTGGCAAATAGATGACATCTGGGTTATTTGAGTGAAACTGGGTTATTTGAGCTGCCTTCAATAATCTGTCTGCAGGTTGGCAGTTGGCTTGCAGCAGATAAAGCTGAGCAATCACTTAGCCAGCTAGAAATTGGAATGAAACACCTCATGTATGTTTTAAGCTTCTATTTCTATTGCTTACAAGGCTCTTACAAATGTTCCAAGATTTGGAATAACTTCTAGATTTCCCTTTCCAGTCTTGATTTCATATTTAATGTTGTGAAGGAAATTACTTCAAAGTAGCTTTGTGGTTAACTCTGTGGGGTTTTCCAGAGGTCTGCAGAAACCTGGATATGGGGAAAACATGGGTAACACTATTGCTTCCAGACCCAAGCTCAGTTGCTGGGAGCTCTCAAGACTCTGCAAATGATTTTGTGAGGGCTTAAAGACCTGACTGCAGCCCTGACAGCAAATATCATATTTATTAATCACATGAGAGACAGAAACACACAGCCATAGTGGTACCAAACCAGCAGGACTGCCCTGAAATCAAAACAGGAGCAGTAGAAAACAAATAGTCAAGCTTTGGATTTATAGCAATGATCTAATTGACTCTAATGAGTAGAGTAGTGCCATGTATGATAAACTGATAATTTGAAATACAGCTGGAAAAGCACACATTTCACTGTGTTAAAAATATCTTATACAGTGATGTCACCTAAGGCATCATTGCATACATGAGGGACTGGCACAGGGAAGGAATTGTCTGCTTTCACAACACAGTTAACCAGTTTTCACACTTTCAGGGCTCCTCAGAACGGTGGTGACTTGGAGAAATCCTTTTGCAGTGTGGAGGAACAGTTTCCACTACATGATCCAAGGATGAGATCTCACACTGTGAGCTTTCATGAGCACCATGGGTGTGTCCAGCAAGTGGAGCTCCAGCTGCCCACCCTAGGGCCAAGGAGCAGATGTGAATGGAGACAGTGAGAGCATGAGAGATCAGAAAGGAGCAAGCAGGGACCATGGCAAATTGCCAGCACAGATATTGCCTCAGAAGATGTTCTGAGGAACAGAGGAGCTTTGAACGGTGTCCAGTCAAGACCTGACCCAGCCATCTCAACAATCCATGTCCCTCAGAAAACGCTGCCCTGACCTCAAGGCAAAGAGGAGTCAAACAGATTTGCCATCCTGGAGATCAGACAGGAAGCAAGAGTGGATCTCTTCATAAGGTGTCAGGGAAAGAAAAAAGATGCCACTTCTTCTTATAGATTAGAAGGTTTTGTAACCTCTTCAAAAAGAAAAATCTCAAACGGATGAATGACACCAAAGATTTTGTTCTCTCTTTCCTTTTTTGTGGGAGATATTGGTGAATGTCCTCAAAAAACCAGAACCAACATAACTACAAATTTGCATGCATAGTAACTCTTTTGGGAGATGTAGTACTCTGGAGATTGCCACTTCTTGTCCATAGGACAGGACAAAGTCTTGATCACAGAAGGGATTTACAGATTTACATTACAGGATGCTTTGATTTGGAAGCAAGAGAGCACAGAACCAGAAGCACTGGAAAAAGAGCAATTGTGGAAAGTTAAATTATCAGTAGTGAACTTTTAGGCAACTTTTAGAGGTACAGCATTTCTTTCCAACCTTGCCAAAGTTGTTTCACCAACATAAACTAATCAGCTGCTTCTTTGTCCCTTTTACTCCTCCCCGACACCTTTAAAAAAACAACAAAAACCAAACCAGTGACTCTTTGTTCTAAGAGTCACCTGACAGTAACTGCATCTTTCTCACAAATACTGTGTGAAAGTTGGCTGAATTGTGAGTTGGCTTTCCTCCTTCTTCTTGGACTGTCTGTAATTGAGATACAATGTGTATCATGATTTAATCCCCAATGGTGCAAAGGCTCTCACTCTTCCTCAGCCACAGAGGGATGTGGGAGAGAATCGGAAGAGTGAAAGTGAGAAGACTTCTGGATTGAGAGACTGTTCAAGGGGACAACAAAGGAAATAATAATAATAATAATAATAATAATAATAATAATAATAATAATAATAATAATAAAACAAAACAAGTGATGCACAATGCAATTACTCACCACCTGCTGAGCAATGCCCAGCCAATTCCTGAGCAGCAGCCCCCAACCAACTTTCCCCCCATTTATATACTGAGTGTGATGCCATACAACATGGAATATCCTTCTGGTCAGCTGGAGTCAGCTGTCCTGGCTGCCCTGTGTCCCCCAGTCTCATTGCTGGCAGGATATGAGAAGCTGAAATGTCCTTGACTCAGTATAAACTCTGGTTAGCAAAAACTAAAGCATCAGTGTGTTATCAGTTATTCACATACCTGATCCAAACCACAGAACTGCACTAGGTACTAGGAGGAAAATTACCTGTATCCCTGCCAAAACCAGGCTAGTGTGAGACTGGAGCAGGAAATGAAGAAGGCCTAAGGCTGTGTGTACTCTAGAGTAAATGAGGGGGCAGCAGGCACTATGACACAAGCATCTGGATTCCTTTACCATGAAGTCCACTACAGAGTATTCCTCCAGCCTCCCAACTTCTGCCCTTACCAAAATGTGGGCACATTCCACCAGGACTCATCCAGAGACATTCTTGGATGCTATCACCATCAGATGTGATATAATTTCCTTTTAGAGAGCTCTGAGAAGCGTAGGAGGGCAGTTCCTGCTTCCTCATTGCAAAGCAATTGCATTCAAGCCTGAGGGAAAGCAGTGCACAACTTCTAAATCCAGAACCCTCCAGCCTGGGGTTAAACAACCCCTGTAAACCACTGTGCCATTTTCTACAAGGAAGAGTCATGACACACAGCTCAGGTTATCTAAAGTGAGTGAAAAGCCAATTGTGGTTACAACTCTCCAAAACAGGATCTTACAACAGGGAAAGACAAGGAAGAAATCTGTGAGGACCTAAAGGTGAAAAAAATCTGAGAGGAGTTCTTAGTTATTCTTCAAAGCTTTTCTGGTTTTCTGGACCCTTTGGACTTTACAAGCAACAAGATGGAAATAGCTGGAGAAAATCAGGTAAATAAGGAAATATGTGACAAATGCTGAGAGGCTGATGACAAAAGCATTTAGCTCTGGGGTGTGCACTCTAAGGAGCTCAATCCCTCAAGGTCTGAAGGAAGCAGATACCAGATATCTCAGGCATCCCACCTTCCTACATAGCATTTGCACCCTGTGTGGCTGGCCAGTAACCAGGCTCATTGAATCATTTAGGTTGGAAAAGACCTCCAAAAGCATCAAATCTAATAATTCACCCTGCCAAGTTCACCAATAACCACATCCCTACATCACCCCTACCCATCTTTTAAATGCCTCCCAGGACTGTGACTCCACCACTTCCGGACAGCCTGTCCCAGTGCTCAACAACACTTTTGAAGAAGAAATTTTTCCTGAGGCCATGATTTATCTGATATTAGCTGTCATTTGCAACCAAGGCCCATGGCATGAGGCACTACACAAACACAGTCAGAGAGACTTTTCTCCAAAGATTTTTCAAGCTAAACAGAGAAGACAGCTGAATAAATTGCATGCAGACTCTCTTTAAAGAACCTGTCAAGCATCCTTTTGT